CAGCCTCCTTGCCAACCCCATCAACGGATGTTCCATCAGAAGGGGCGGAAGCTTGCTCAAGGTGAAACATCTCTGCCGCTTCCTCTCCTAGTCACTCGGTTTTCAAGGTCCTGCAGTTGACAACCGAATGCCCCGGCTTATGGCATGCCGCACACACGTGGAGACCCTTGTCGCACTTCTGGAAGCCTGACTTCGGATCCTTCTCGGTCTTGTTAGAGCAGCCATCGGGAAGATTGAAACCCCAGCACGCATTGCCAAACTTGGTCCTCGTATCATATGCTGCCAAAGCTGCTGGCTTGTTCTTCGGGCCTCCTCGCGCCTTCGCCTTTGCCTTAGCCTTTTCAGTCGCGATGCGTGGCACCTTGTGGGGTGCAGGCGGCTTGTCATCCTCCGTCACCTTTGTAGGCGCAACCTTCACGACTTGCGACTTCTGCATAGGAAGCAAGAACTGAGTGATGCGCTGATCGAAGGCTAAACGGGACATGACTGCATCAAGAGGCGGAACACCTGAAGGCCCTGGCTTGAAGGACTGAAGGCCCTCCTGTGACATGAGCAGGAACATCTCCTTGTCTGCCCTGACACACTGCGTCAAAGTAACAGGAGCAAAGTTCGGTGGAGGGACCTGTGACAGGCAGTCCAGAAGCTTTTGGATCCACTTCTGATGCACATTGTACGAAAGCATCTTGCACTGATCGTAGGCAAGACCCCTTCGCATCCAAGCCCACTGACAGCGCAAAGAATCCGAAGTATCGCACTCCACTGTGACACTCGGACCTCCTACCTTGACAGTGTTGTTCTCAACTTGAAGGGTGCTCGGCTTTTCCTTGAAACCTGCAATCACCTCTTGCTCACGCTTGGGGCACTTGGAAGGTGCAAGCCAGTAGATCACGGCGTTCTCCATCTGATGATTGCATGCATCGATCAACTGGTATGAAGGATCAAGCTCCCCGTCCAAGTCTATGCCCCTTAGTCTGGACTGTTGGGATTCCTTACGAGCCCTCTTCTCTGGCAGCGGGAGCTTTCTCATCGGTGCACCATCTGAAGAATCATGCGACACCATGTCCCTGTACGTCTGGATCACCAGAGTGGACGCCTCAAAGTGCAACTGCCTGATACTGGACAACTCGCCTACAGTCGGCTCACCTGTGGCATACACAAGTTTTGCAAGCTCTCTAAAGGCATCCTCGGTCGGCGGGCTCTGAGGGGTTCCCAGAGCGAAGGCAAGCGAGCGAAAAGATTTGACGCCTTGGGTGGACAGCCCCGCAGTAAGTGAGCCATCTCCTCGAACCTCTAGGCACCTCTTCTCGAAGGCAGCTTCGCTTTCGATGATGGTAGACATTGAAGAGAAGCCCGATTACCGCAGTTGCACGGCCTCTGCACGCCCTAACTCAATCCATCACCTCACACACTCGAGCCCTAACAACTTCAAAAGCTCAGACATGTGACTGTATCGCTCAAACATGTACTGCATGCACACTCACTCACTCAGACATGTAACTGAACATGACAGCAAGCAAAGCTTCAATCTTTCATCTCACTTCCTCGTGTCGGTGTCAACAAACCTAGCGCACAACCTGCGTCGTGAGCAGGCCTGAGAAGGCCTGTCATTGAGCCTTGCATGCAATGCCCCAATGCTCCTGCCACACACGAACACCTTGGAATAATGGTCATGGGCCAAGTGCAAAACTTTGGACTTTGTATGCTCATAGTAGCACATGCCGTCAGGAGGATCAGGAACGACCCAGCGCACGAAAGAACCGGGAAGTTCAGCACCCTCCTGACTCTCTGAATCCGAACTGCTGCTGGAGCCTGTGGTTACTGCATCCGACGGCGGTTCCTCAGCGGGGTCGGCACCTGGCCTCAGAGGAGGCTCCCTAAACTCCCTAAACAGAGTCGGGACCTCAGGGGCCGATCCGTCGTCGTCGTCCTCGTCCTTGACTTCTATCAAGACAGGAGTGCTCCCCTTAACGAATCTACCACTTCTAGTGCAATCAGGCTTAAAGCGACCGCTCCGTATGGCTCGCAGCACCTTGTTCAGCAACAAGAGTGTAGGAGCAGCGGCATCTCTTCCATACGTGAGTGGCATCTTGAAATCACCGGTGTGATATCCCAACAAGAGCAACTCATTCGGACTTGCCCCGAACTTGGTCGCAAAACTAATGCACGTGCACTTGCAGGAATGGCTTGACACTCGTCTGCCAGGAATCGGGTCCGCGCTACCGAAAAGCAACAGCCTAGCCCAAGACCCTGCCTCATCAGATTCAAGACTCCGCACAGTAGGGAATCCTTGGTGATCTGGAGCCGGCATCACAGGGAAACGCGGAGGCTCACCAATTCCCAGCAACCTTCTTGCTTCCATAAATTGTTCTATCCACGGGTCTTCTGTAACACCCACACCAGGCGCCACCATGGGCAGCAGTTGCCCTCGCATGAGCTTGGCACCCATCGTCTTGTGGACCCCCACACCGGCCTCGATGAAAGCCGCCTCTCCATTCTCTCCACGATCGACAGTAATGGACTCTGCATGGGACAAATCCTCCCAGCGAGCTCTGCCATACGTTGCGAAAAGGAGCGCGCCGGCCATCAACCTGTTCCACAGTTCTGCATCGTTAGCAAGAATGTAGTGAAGTTTGGTCAGCTCTGCCACTGTAAAAGGGGAGGCCTGAACCCGAGCCTTGAAGTCTCGCTGCTTGGCACTGCCGTGGCAGCGCTTGCTCTCTCCCAACTCAGCAAGTTCTGGGATACCAACCACAAATCTTGTGAACGTGATGGCTTCAAGAACTGCCTTTCGAGCAGAAGCGGGCCTGCCTGCCTCCCGCATGCCACACAAGTACTGGTAAAAGATCTCCTCCGATCCAGGAAAACACAACCCCCGATCGCTCAAGAAGTTGTTGTAACCCAGCAGAGATCTGTACCGCTTGCGCAGAGTAGCAGGCGCCTTACCACCAAGTAAATCTTCAATCATAAAATATCTGGGCAAATGTCCCAGGTTCAAAAGTTGCCGAACCACAGCCAGCTTGTCGGGCCAGGACTCAATGAGCCCCTGCCAGAGGTACAGAGCCTCCGAACGCTCCTTGTCCCTCTTGGCCTTCCAGCTCACCGCTTCCCGGTCTTTGACTGCATTCAAATAAGTAAAGCTTCCGCCAGATTTGTCTGCTGATCCAGAGGTCTTGGCAGCCTTCGAGCGCGAAGAATCACTTTCTAAAAGTACAGCTTCAGGTCTCTTATACACAGCACCATGCATTCCATGATACAAATCCTTTGGCAATCCAAAAATATCTGCCCAAATCCCCTTCTCCCAGCACTGCTCCAGGCCCGCAGCGGGTAAAGACTGATGTGCAAAAGCCACGGCAGCTGGGACATTGAATACACGATCATCAGAAGAAGACCCCGGTCGGCCCGAGCCCTGCAAGGGCGGGTCCCTCGGCGTCTCCTCTGCTATCGAAGAGCCAGGAGGGGGATTGCTGCTTTTGTCAGACAGATTCGCCTTGGAGTACCATTGTACCTCCTCAAAGTCACTGGGGTCAAAACTCGCACTAAGAGCTGGCGACCTGTCTTGCAAAAAGTCACGACTGTAATTCTCAACGGAGTCTCCACAAGCCAAATGATCAAGGTGAGCTTCGAACTCCCCATAGGAGCTCTCACCAACTGGCCTGGATTCTCCCCCTTCATCAAAAGACAGTTGGTCACTCATCGATTACGGCTGAGCAGAAAAGCAAACCGCACGAATAGACCAGCATGTTCTAATGAAGCGCAGAAGATCGTCACGGCAGAGAAAAGCCCAGAGTAAGCGCACAGCATCAAGCTGGACACTTCGGAACAAGCTCAACAGAGCTTGGCAAGCCATGGCTGGGCCCACCTCTACACAAAACAAACTACAAGCAATCTGTTATTGCTTCCCACCCACCCTCCGCTTCGAGGCGACGCGGATATAAAAAGATCATCACTGACTGTCCAATAGCAAACTATCGAAACAGGTGATGTTGAAAAAGGATTTGGGCAAAAACCCAAAAATCAAAAATGTGATGGGAAAAAAAAAACATGTCACTAATTTTCCAAAGGAAAATTTCCACAAAAGAATAAAGTGATCATCCCTACGGGAGGATGTACGTGTGTGTGTGTGTGTGTGTGTGTGTGTGTGTGTGTGTGTGTGTGTGTGTGTGTGTGTGTGTGTGTGTGTGTGTGTGTGTGTGTGTGTGTGTGTGTGTGTGTGTGTGTGTGTGTGTGTGTGTGTGTGTGGGTGTGTGTGGGGGTGTGTGTGTGTGTGTGTGTGTGTGTGTGTGTGTGTGTGTGTGTGTGTGTGTGTGTGTGTGTGTGTGTGTGTGTGTGTGTGTGTGTGTGTGTGTGTGTGTGTGTGTGTGTGTGTGTGTGTGTGTGTGTGTGTGTGTGTGAGTGTGTGTGTGTGTGTGTGTGTGTGTGTGTGTGTGTGTGTGTGTGTGTGTGTGTGTGTGTGTGTGTGTGTGTGTGTGTGTGTGTGTGTGTGTGTGTGTGTGTGTGTGTGGTGGTGTGTGTGTGTGTGTGTGTGTGTGTGTGTGTGTGTGTGTGTGTGTGTGTGTGTGTGTGTGTGTGTGTGTGTGTGTGTGTGTGTGTGTGTGTGTGTGTGTGTGTGTGTGTGTGTGTGTGTGTGTGTGTGTGGTGTGGTGTGTGTGTGTGTGTTGTGTTGTGTTGCGTGTGTGTGGTGTGGTGTGTGTGTGTGGGGGTGGGTGGTGTGTGTGGTGTGTGTGTGTGTGTGTGTGTGTGTGTGTGTGTGTGTGTGTGTGTGTGTGTGTGTGTGTGTGTGTGTGTGTGTGTGTGTGTGTGTGTGTGTGTGTGTGTGTGTGTGTGTGTGTGTGTGTCTGTGTGCGTGTGTGTGTGTGTGTGGGTGTGTGTGCGTGTGTGTCTGTGTGTGTGCGTGTGTGTGAGTGATGTGCAGCAAAGCACTCTGAGGACCAAACCAGAGCCAGAGCCGGAGCCGCCAGGTCGGGTGCTTGGCTCAACTGCAAAGCGATGCCACGACATCTTCAATTTCCCGGCTCGCGGATCGCTCGACAGGCCCAGCCTCCGCATTCCGTGACGACCGTCTGCAGCTGGAGCCGCAAAATCATCTCCCTCTGAGCAGCCGGATCCGTTCCCGACATAAGCATGACAAGGTCTCTGTTCATGCGCTCCGTGTCCGCCCCGCTCAAGCTGCTTAGCAGATTTTCAACACGACGCGAAGCCACGTCGTACTCCGACTGCCAATGGTCAGCGCTGGTTCCGTACTGTTTCATGAAAGCGAAGACAGCATGCAAGGCGGCGCGGTACTGCTCATCAGCATCATCGGATTGAGCATCTTCATTACAAGCGCACGGAGTCTCCTTCTTCGGCGCTGCAGTACAAAGCCCGAGCAGCAAAAGCAAGCTCACCACCAAGAACAAGCGTGCGTCGCGAAGACGAGCCATGGCACACTGCTGAAGGGCCCAAAAGCTCCTGTTCCGGACCAGCTATTTAAGCAGGCATGACATCACTCTCAGGAAACACTAACATCATAGAAACCATGCCATGTTCATTCTGTTGTGCTCAGCCGAACTTTCGCAAGACAGCGTCGATTCGGCTTCAGCACAGGGTGAGCAACTTCGCCCACTTGCAAAGAGCAAGCTCGAGAACAACCAAACGCTGCAACAAGTCTTCCATATGCCGATCGGAGTTTGTCACCCATTCAATCGCGGGCATTCTTTCTTGAAGAGCGGCAGTGCACATCGAAGTTAGGAGGCCGGCGTGGCACTGCGTGCACCGCACACAGCCAGCGTTCGCCGCGTACAGAAATTTGTACTCCAGACGATTGCTTGCCACGACGGACCTGGGCAGCCAGACCAATGCCCAGACCAGTGAAGCATCCAAATCCGGCAGGCTTGGGAAACCGCATGCAATCCGCTTTCCAATGCAATTCCACTGCGGGTTAAAGTTCTTAGGGACCTAAACCCAACCGTGATGAGCGTGCGGCAGCCCTAGTGCACCTGGGCCGCACTGGGGCGAGCACTAAAAACGCCTTTCCGACGCCCCTTTAATTAAGATGCAGACCTTCCCGGCCTCGACGAATCCATCGCGACTGGGCGAGCCTTGTCTAAGCGCAAGCAACTTGAGCAGCAGCAATCTAACTTTCCAAGAGAGAGAGAGAGAGAGAGAGAGAGTTATAGATTGGAAAGGCGGCTCTTTGTTCGCGGAGCCACTTCAAGTAACAAGCAGCAACCTTCCTCCTGCGGCGACGATCGTTTTGCTCGCTCGTTCGCAAGACAGCGTCGGAGCAAGCAAAACGCATCTTGGAGCAGCAGGCATTTGCGATGCAAGATCAGGAGCGCAGAAACATCCACGCAGACGAGTGTTTAATTAAAGAAGAAGCCTTGAATTATGGCTCGCTCACAAGTCAGGCTCGGCCCCTTCATTCTCGGCCAGGGCATCCAGAAAGGAGATCCATTCCCGGACACTCTGTCGAAGCTCGTGAAACTTCTTTTCCCAAACTCGTTTGCTTTCGTAGAGAAAGGATTCGGAGGCGGGTCCAGGGGGATTTCTTCTGCAGGCATCATTGAGAGGTAGAAGTCGATAGCCCGGAAAGCAGGTGATCTTCTGATCGATTCGAGAACTCTGCGTCTCTTGCAGTGTCGTTTCATTTCGTTCTCCACGCTCAGGGTTCCATCGTTGTTGTTGGATTCCTCCGAGACGTGTTTGCTATCGGAATAGCGGCTACCTGCAGAACTTTCGTTGTCCTGCACGGATCTTACCTCATCCAGCCGCCGCGGAGTGAACTGTTCCTTGTCCTTCGGCATTCTCCAGGAAGTAAGTAGTATGGAGAGTGCGCAAACATAGCCCATGATGCCTGCAGTTTCGAAGCAAATCGAAATCAGAGCTAGAAATCGTCAAGCACGATAGAACATAATGTGACGTGCCTACATACCAACAACTGATGACGACGACGAGCCGCCCGAACTGCCGTGCTGCGGTCGAAGAATTGATTGCGGCTTGGCCTGGCCAGCGAGCCGAGACCTTGCGAGTGCGGCGCAGCAACTCACCGCTCAGGAATGTGCCTTTCACTGAAGCAAACGGGCAAGCCCGCACAGCCGAGTTGGGTGTGAGAAGAGGCTATAGCGCTGAAGCAAACGGGCAAGCCCGCACAGCCGAGTTGGGTGTGAGAAGAGGCTATAGCGCGAAGCTCCGAAACAGTCTCAGGTCGCGTGGTCATCTATTTTTTTACACTCACGGCTTAAAGCAATGCACACGTCAGCGGTCCGCGTCAGCTTCCATCAGCATGAGGTCGGCCAGGCGACCGCAGTGACTCGCTTCGGACGTGAGCTGGGAAGGCTCAGGATGGCTGCGGAGCGCGAACAGTGAAGTGCTGCCGGGCAGGGACATGGTTACTTCTCCCCTGATGTAGGCTCGCACACGGGGGCCCCAGTCCGCGAAGACGATGTTCAGGAAGATGCAGCGGCCTTGGGCATGGAACTCATCCAGCTGACGTCGAGCGATTTGTTTTACGCTTAAGCATCGCTTCAAGGCGAGCTTGGCTGCGCCTCCGAGCGTGCTGTCGTCCAGCCCATCAGTCGCTGTCTCCATTGGCTGCGTCAGAGAGCGCAAAGAGACAGAGTCGCACGGCAGGATCACGTCCACGTCCTCCAACTCCACGACGCTCGCCATGATGCCGTTGTAGGACCGGCCATCCCTCGGAACGCACACTCGGACTCGCACTCGCCGACGTGTGCGAAGCACGCTGACCACGGTGCCCTGGTGGGCAAGGTCAGCAACCAAGCGATGATCGACGACTTGCTCTGTTCCGATGCAGTACTGCAGATCATCAGTGCCGTCGGGGTTGAGCAGGGCATCCAAGTGCACTTTCCAGCTGGCGTGCAATGGGATGCTGTGTGAGGTGCTGTTGCCGGACAGCCCAACCACGTCGAAAGAGACGTCGTCACGTGTTTCCATGGCTAACGCCGGTGAACTTCTAGGGAGGCACCGAGCTTTCGCAAGACAGCGGCGACTCGGCAATGAATGAACTTCTAGGATCTTCTAGGGAGGTACCGAGCTTTCGCAAGACAGCGTCGACTCGGCAATCAAAAGGGTATGAACAGCAATGAAGCCAAAGCTTCGAATGAATGAACTTCTAGGGAGGTACCGAGCTTTCGCAAGACAGCGTCGACTCGGCAATCAAAGGGGTATGAACAGCAATGGAGCCAAAGCTTCGTCGCAGAGCGTCACGGGTTTTCGCTCTTGATGTAACTAAATACGCAGAGACCTCTTTTCCCGGGCACCTGGCGCCATGGCAATGACGCGACTCGGCAAAGGCCTGGGCAGCCAGACCAATGCCCAAACCACCGAAGAATCCAAATCCGAACATGAAGGCCCGACTCACGAATCGAGGGTCGGGTTATTGTGTGGAAGCTTGACAGGCTTACCATCTACAAGAGAGCACGATGTTGGTTTATTTCATGGGGTGCAACCTACCCCGATACCGAGGGTCCGGGTGGGACCTATGTTCTGCTCGTCGATTATATGGTCTATGAACATACATACAGACCGAGCAGGCGAACACCGATCATCATGGTTCCGACACTTCGAGGGCAAGGGCAACTCGCATTCATCGGAGGGCTTTCGCATTAGCTCAAAGTACGGAAGGTATAGACCAGAGCATGATGCGGGGTTTATTCACTGGAGTGCAACTTACCGCGACACCGAGGGTTTGGCTAGGACCTACATTCTGCTCGGACAGCGATCATCATGGCTTCGACACTTGGAGGGCGAGGACAACTTACATTCATGGGAAGGCTTTGGAATCAGGTCAAAGTACGGAGCCAGCAGTAGCTGCAAATCCTGGCTTGGGGCCTCCAGAGGCGTCATGGTGACGAGAGTCGAGAAGGGACTCAGATGGAAGAACGAGCACGCAGGCAAACGGCAGCCTAGGCAAACCACGTGTGAATTGTTTTCACATGCGATTCCACTGCGGGTTAAGGTTCTTAGGGACCTAAACCCAACTGCGATGAGGGTGCGGCAGCATCTGTGCACCTCGGCCGCACGAGGACGAGCGCCAAAAACGCGTTTGCGAAACACCTCTATAATTAAGACGCAGCACTAGTAGGGAGCAGTGATTCCAGCAGCAATGTAATGAAGCAACAAAAGGGAGGAAGAGGAAGAACGAGCCTTGAGCTTCACGTCGACGCGCTCATGGTCTTTCTCCGTGAGTAGGAGGAGAGGCGTGGAAGGATCGGCCGGTTGGATCGACCAATGAGACTCCCTTGAAGCCAATAAGACCGGCAGCATGTACCTCTTCTTGGCTTCCGATCTCGTCGAGTCCACATCATCCATATCTTGTCGGCCATAACGTCGCGCATGCCCCGCTTCATGGCCTTCTGTCTGTCTGAGTTGTCGGATCACAAGACCAGCCAAACCTTTGCGGCACTCCGTCTCTGAGCAAGCCGACTCCGCGCTCCATCGCTCTGTCTGGTAGGGTAATAATTATGAGTCCGAACACCCGTCCGAATTAAAGGCCTCATTTAGGTAAGTTGTAGTCCGATCAGTCTTACCAGCTACTACAAGCTGCTTCGATTCTTGCAAAGCCTTGCTTGCTGCGTCTGCAGGGATTCTCTGCACGGGCCCAATAGATTCGCTTATAGACATAGAAGACCGACAAAATGATCGAATCCAGAACAGAAGTATCCCAGACACATCCCCAGAAGTCCCTGCTCCTTAGGGTCTGGCCGTGTCTTTGCAGGATGGCTGCTACAAGCAGGCGAAAGGCGATGTTGGTGAGGTACACACGTCCGAGCGAGCTTGCTGGAACTGCTGGCGGCAGCCTGAGTCACAGCAATATCTCAGCCCCAAGCCCGCCAAAATTCATGCTTTAGTGTTGATCTTCTCCCTCAAACTGCCATGCAAGTCTGTCTCTGCCAAACATGCCAACACGGCGGAGAGAGAGAGAGAGAGAGAGAGAGAGAGAGAGAGAGAGAGAGAGAGAGAGAGAGAGAGAGAGAGAGAGAGAGAAAACTAAATCGCGTCATTTTTCTTCCCGGTGCTTTCCATGTCGCACGAGGTGCGGAAATGTCACGGCACCCATGCAACCGAACTTTCGCAAGACAGCGTCGATTCGGCTGCACGCGGTGAGCAACTTCCCGTACTTCCCCGGGGCTTTGTGTGTAGCACGACGCACGTAAATGTCACAGCACCCATGCAACCGAACTTTCGCAAGACAGCGTCGATTCGGCTGCACGCAGTTTCGAAGCAAATAGAAATCAGAGCTAGATATCGTCAAGCACGATAGAACATAAGGTGACGTGCCTACATACCAACAACTGCTGACGACGACGAGCAGCCCAGACTGCCGTGCTGCGGCCGAAGAATTGGTTGCGGCTTGGCCTGGCCAGCGAGCCGAGACCTTGCGAGTGCGGCGCAGCAACTCACCGCTCAGGAATGTGCCTGC